TAATAACACCTCAGACATGTCAGAATGGCTACTATCAGAAAGATAACAAATAGCAAGTGTTGGAGAGGATGTGGGAAAAAAAGAAAACCCTGTTGCACTGTTGTTGGAAATGTGAATTGGTGCAGCCACAATGGCAAACAGTATGGAGGGACTCAAAAAATTAAAAATAAAACTACCAAACGATCCAGCAATTCCACTTCTGGATATATGTCCAAAGGAAATAAAAACACTGATTGGAAAGATATATAATCCTCTGTGTTCACTACAGCATTATTTACAATAGCCAAGATATGGAAGCAACCTAAGTGTCCATCAATAGATGAACGGATAAAGAAGATGTGGTATGTATGTATGTGTATATACACACACATATATATATATATATATTCAGCCATAAAAAAGAATGAAATATTGCCAGTCCCAACAACATGGATGGACCTAGAGGATATTGTGCTAAGTGAAATAAGTCAGGCAGAAAAAGACCAATATTGTATGATTTCACTTACATGTGGAATCTAAAAGACAAAAAATGAACAAACATAAAACAGAAACAGACTCATAGATACAGAGAACAAACAGTTGAGAGAGGGAGGAGGCGGGTGAGGGGTGAGTGAAATAGGTGAGGGAGATTAAGAGGTACAAACTTCCAATTATAAATAAGTGAGTCATGGGGACATAATGTACAGTGTGGGGAATATAGTCAATAATATTGTAATAACTTTGTATGGTAACATGGTAACTATGCTTATTGTGGTGATCTTTGCAATGTATAGAAATACTGAATAACTTTGTTATGCATTTGGAGCTAACACAGTGTTATAAGTCAGTTATACCTCAACACTAAATAAATAAACAAATAAAATAAATCTACCCCCCAAATAAATAAATATTTAAAAATAAATAAGTAAAAATCACTAGCAATATAGACAAAATTAACAGAAAATATTTTTAATTCATGTAGAGACTTTTGCTATACAGTTGACCTCTGAACAAGGCTGTTAGGGGCATCCACTCTCTGCACAGTTGGAAATCTGATTATAATTTACAGTCGGACCTCCTTATGTGCAGTTCCACATTTCTGGATTCAACCAACCAGATTGTGTGGTACTACAAAATGTGAAAAAAATTCGCATATCAGGGAACCTGTGTAGTTCAAATGTGTGTTGTTCAAGGATCCACTTTATTCATCTCTAAAGATACATTTAAAAGAAGTTTTTCTTTTTGTATAGTTACTGAAGAAATATTTTAAATGCAGTTAAGCATAAATAAAATAATTTATAATTCCACCATTATAGAGAAGTTAATTCCAAATAAATTTATTTTACCTTATTCAATGGTTTATAACCAAAGGAAGAGCTGAATTAACACCAAACTTTAATTGACTATGACCTTTGTGTTATCAAAGGTTGTTTCTAACCCATGAGGAGCCTTCTGGGTCTACCTCATTTTCTTCTTGGTTATGAGAGGAGGCTAGAATTTCAAAAGGAGATTTCAAGAGAACTGTTAACTCTTCATGAAGTTCAAGTTTTCCAGCTGAAATGGACAAAGAGAATTCTGAGCCTGGGCTCTTGCAAAAGGCAGGCAGTGAGCAACTCTTGGACTGCGCTATACTGCTTCTTCTTGTCCTTCATATCTCTCCAGCATCGTCTGTGCTAGCAATTCCTTTATTGCCATAGTGATATCTACACCATTTTTCTACTTACTAAATCTCACCAGAAGTGATCATTCTAGTGCCAGAATTCCTTCAAAACATATGGTTGCGATTTTCAGATTCCAAGAACACGATCACAGTTTGCAAATTCTAAAATAAACACATATGTGGAATACACCTGCCAATAAGAGTAAAACTATTTTTTCTATTCCCTAATGAAAACATTTACAAGCAAGATATAAATCTGGAAATCCACCATTGGACTCAGCTAAACACCCCCACCCCCACACACACACACACTCACACACATAGAGCCAACATTTTAACCTGTGTGATGTAGGGCAAAAATATTTGCTTACTTAATACCTGAGATAGACTATTCAATTATTTTGATCACATTTATCAAAAACGTGAAAGAAAAGTCTAGTCTTTTATAATTTATTTTGAATTTTCTGGAATTGCTGATGGTAACAAACTATATAATTCTTTCAATTCACTCAGAATATAAATCTATGTTACTATCTATAAAAGATTGGTAAATGAAGATTCAAAACCATAAACAGATATTTAGTGGAGTTTAAAATTCCTGCTAAAGCAAGAATTTTTTTTTTTTACTAATTAATTAAACAGGTTGGCTTGGTAATGATTCTCATGCAAAGAAGGATCAGTAATGTTCTGACTTGTTCTCTATCATTCAAGTTTCAGGAACACCAAGTGGTGGAGCTGAAACTTAAACCTGGATCTGTCTGAGCTTAAATCCTGTATTCCTTCTATTACCTGGAAGGTTGAAGAATGGAAGAGGG